AATCCACCCAAAATGCCCCAAAAATCCCCAAAATTACCCCAAAAATCCACCCAAAAATCCCCAAAATTACCCCAATATCTAACCCAAAATCCACTCGAGTCCAACTGGGGAGGAAAGGGTTAAAAATTGCCCAAAAATCCCCAAAATTACCCCAAAAATTCACCCAAAACTGACCCGAATCAGCTGGGGAGGAAAGGGTTAAAAACGGACCCAAAATGCCCAAAATTGAACCCAAAAAATCCCAAAATTGGACCCAAAAAATCCCAAAATTGAACCCAAAAATCTCAAAATTGGACCCCAAAAAAACCCCAAAATTTGACCCAAAAAGTCCCAAAATTGTTCCCCAAAAAATCCCAAAATCGGACCCAAAAAATCCCAAAATTGGTCCCAAAAAAATCCCAAAATTGGTCCCAAAAAATCCGAAATTTGGACCCAAAAAACCCCAAAACTGGACCCCAAAAATATCCCAAAATTGGACCCAAAAAATCCCAAAATTGTTCCCCAAAAAATCCCAAAATCAAACCCAAAAAATCCCAAAATTGGTCCTAAAATGTCCCAAAAATCCCAAAATTGGACCCAAAAAAATCCCAAACTTGAACCCAAAAAAATCCCAAAATCAAACCCAAAAAACCCCAAAATTGGATAAAAAAAAACCCCAAAATTGGACCCAAAAAACCCTAAAATTGGATCCAAAAAATCTCAAAATTGATCCCAAAAAATCCCAAAATTGAACCCAAAAAAATCCCAAAAGTGGTCCCAAAAAATCCCAAAATCAAACCCAAAAAATCCCAAAATTGGTCCTAAAATGTCCCAAAAAATCTCAAAATTGAACCCAAAAAACCCCAAAATTACCCCAAAAAATCCCAAAATTGAACCCAAAAAACCCTAAAATTGGATCCAAAAAATCCCGAACTTGAACCCAAAAAAATCCCAAAATTAAACCCAAAAAAACCCAAAATTGGTCCCAAAAAAACCCAAAATTGAACCCAAAAAATCCCAAAATTGGTTCCAAAAAATCCCAAAATTGGTTCCAAAAAATCCCAATTTTGGTCCCAAAAATTGCCAAAATTTGACCCGAATAACCCCAAAATTGGTTCCAAAAAATCCCAAAATCAAACCCAAAAAATCCCAAAATTGGTCCTAAAATGTCCCAAAAAATCCCAAAATTGATCCTAAAATGTCCCAAAAATCTCAAAATTGAACCCAAAAAACCCCAAAATTACCCCAAAAAATCCTGAACTTGAACCCAAAAAAATCCCAAAATTGTACCCAAAAAATCCCAAAATTGGTCCCAAAAAATGCCAAAATTTGACCTAAAAATTCCCAAAATTACCCCAAAAAATCCCAAAATCAAACCAAAAAAATCCCAAAATTAGACCCAAAAAATCCCCAAATTACCCCAAAACTGGGGCCGGTTTTACTGCCCAGAGCCCCAATTTTGGGATTTTTAACCCCAATTTTGGGGCTTTACCTGCCCCAGGTGTGCCCAGGTGAGTCTCACCTGTGCCCAGGTGTGCCCAGGTTCATTTTTAATGCCCAAAATCCCATTTTTTCTCCTTTTTACCCCATTTTTTCTGTATTTTACCCCCCCAGGTGTGCCCAGGTGTTCCCAGGTGAGTCTCACCTGCCCCAGGTGTGCCCAGGTGAGTCTCACCTGTGCCCAGGTGCGCCCAGAACCACCTGGGTGTCCCTGACCCCATTTTTAGTGCCCAAAATCCCATTTTTTCTAGTTTTAACCCCATTTTTTTGTATTTTACCCCTCCAGGTGTGCACAGGTGAGTGCCCAGGTGAGTCTCACCTGTGCCCAGGTTCATTTTTAGGTGCCCCAAACCCCATTTTTGCTCCTTTTAACCCCTTTTTTTCTGCTTTTCATCCCATTTTTTTTGTATTTCCCCCCCCCAGGTGTTCCCAGGTGAGTCTCACCTGTGCCCAGGTGCGCCCAGGTTCATTTTTAGTGCCCAAACTCCCATTTTTGCTCCTTTTAACCCCATTTTTTTGGTTTTAACCCCATTTTTTTGGTTTTAACCCCATTTTTTTTGTATTTCCCCCCCCAGATGAGTGCCCAGGTGAGTCTCACCTGTGCCCAGGTGTGCCCACGTTCATTTTTAGTGCCCAAAATCCCATTTTTGCTCCTTTTCACCCCATTTTTTCAGCTTTTAACCCCATTTTTTTTTGTATTTTATCTCCCCAGGTGTGCCCAGGTGAATGCCCAGGTGTGCCCAGATGAGTCTCACCTGTGCCCAGGTGTGCCCAGGTGCATTTTTAGTGCCTAAAACCCAATTTTTTCTCCTTTTAATCCCATTTTTGCTCCTTTTCACCCCATTTTTTTTCCTCTTTCCCCCGCCCAGGTGTGCCCAGGTGAGTCTCACCTGTGCCCAGGTGTGCTCAGAACCACCTGGGTGTCCCTGACCCCATTTTTAGTGCCCAAAATCCCATTTTTTCTAGTTTTAACCCCATTTTTTTTCTATTTTACCCCCTCCAGGTGTGCCCAAGTGTGCCCAGGTGAGTCTCACCTGTGCCCAGGTGTGCCCAGGTGCATTTTTAGTGCCCAAAATCCCATTTTTTCTAGTTTTAACCCCATTTTTTTTCTATTTTACCCCCTCCAGGTGTGCCCAGGTGAGTGCCCAGGTGAGTCTCACCTGCCCCAGGTGTGCCCAGGTGAGTCTCACCTGTGCCCAGGTTCATTTTTAATGCCCAAAATCCCATTTTTTTCTCCTTTTAACCCCATTTTTGCTCCTTTTCACCCCATTTTTTTTCTCTTTCCCCCCCCAGGTGTGCCCAGGTGAATGCCCAGGTGTGCCCAGGTGAGTCTCACCTGTGCCCAGGTGCATTTTTAGTGCCCAAATCCCCATTTTTTCTCCTTTCAACCCCATTTTTGCTCCTTTTCACCCCGTTTTTTTTCTCTTGCCCCCCCAGGTGTGCCCAGGTGTGCCCAGGTGAGTCTCACCTGTGCCCAGGTGTGCCCAGGTTCATTTTTAATGCCCAAAATCCCCATTTTCGCTCCTTTTAACCCCATTTTCGCTCCTTTTAACCCCATTTTTGCTCCTTTTAACCCCATTTTTGCTCCTTTTCACCCCGTTTTTTTTCCTCTTTCCCCCCCCCAGGTGTGCCCAGGTGTGCCCAGGTGTGCCCCCTCACCTGCGCCCAGAAGCGGTTGACCAGGTGCAGGGTGGCGTCGTCGGTGGCCTGGCGCTTCTCCAGCTTCTCGATGCGCTCGCGGAGCTCGTCCTCGCACACCTGGCGCTGCTCCAGGCGCTCGGCCAGCTTCTTGTTCCGGAACTGGAGCACCTTGAGATCCATCTCCTCCTG